CTTTGGATGTCCCTTGGGAGTTTCTTGTAGGCCTGATGGGGCGTCTTGGGGACCTCTTGGTGGTCTCGGGGGCCCCTTGAAGCGTCTTGGGTGCCTCGAGGGAGCCTCTTGTGGCCTCTGGGGGTTCTCTTGGGAAGCTCTTGGGGGCACCTTGGGGGCATCTTGGGGGCGTCTTGGCGCCTCCTGGGCGCCTCTTGGGGCCCTCTTGGGGCACTCTTCGGGGCCTCGGGGGCCATCTTGGGGCCATCTTGGAGGTGATCGATCAAACAAGAGTGGGGTCCAACTAGGCTCCCCCACAGGAGACCAGAGTTGGTACAAAACTATTGTACACTCAATGATTTTGGCCTTCCTGCCGAGGCCATCTTGGAGCTTGAACGACCCGCCGCCCCCCCTCCAGGTCCAGGGGAAGGGGGTGGGGGAGGGGTCAAGACCCTCCCCGCCCGCAAGCTGCCGCGCTCACTCCCATCCGCCCTCCCAACAGATAAGTAGCACCCAAGCCTCAGCATGTTCAGCGGTCGTGTATGGATGGGCAGCTACTGGAAACTGCAGCAGACCCCATGCGCGCGACGCTGGGGCGAGGTGCGCCACGCGTGCAGTGCGCGCCACGCGTGCCAGGTGCGCCAGGCACCCCTAGGGCCCAAGCGTGTCAGGCAAGCCTGGCTCCAGGGAGGGCCTCGCCTTCGAGGATCGGAGGGGCTGACGTCTCTGCCTCGGCGGAAGGCGGCGCGGGGCGGCACAAGCCCGTGGAGGTAGCACGAGGCCGCCTCATCCGGCGGAAGGTGTGGCGGACGGCCGGCGGAAGCAAAAGATGCGCCCCCAAGAGATGGCAGCATGTTTGGGTTCGGCGTTTCTGGAGTCGGCCACATATACACGCTTGCGTGTAGAAACGGGAGCATCGACCCAGCACGTTTTGCAGGTACGTGTATGTTCTAGCCTCCCTGGGCAAGTCCCTTGCGCTCGGGGGTTCTCGTGCCTGTTCTGAGGAACTGGGCCGTGTCTTCGGTCTTGAGGTCATGTGGCCGCCGTCGTCGCCCCGTCGCCGCCCTGGCGCCTCCCGTCGTTCGGCCGTGCCTTCGGTCTGGCGGCTATGTTCAGGAGGGGGAAAAACACACAGACACAATTAATCGTCGACTCCCAGGAAAATATGGGAAAACATGGGAAGTGGGGGGGGAAGACAAACACCCAGAAGATATGGGAACCTATGGGGGATAGCTTGATCTGTGTGCATTTATTTGCGTGTCCTGGGGCCCCTTCGGTCTTGAGGTCGCGTGGCCGCCGTCGTCGCCCCGTCGCCGCCTCGTCGCCGCCTCGTCGTTCGGCCGTGCCTTCGGTCTGGCGGCTTGTGCGGCCGCCGCCACCGCCGCCCCGCGGAAGGGCCTCGTCGCCGCCTTCCTCGCGGCGGGTCGCCGCCGCTGGATGGCACCACTCGGGCTGCGCAACAAGTCATCGCACGTGCGGCGCGCGTCTTCATCGCTTACAGCATACAATTGTCTGTTTTGGCGTGTTCGATCTAATCTCGATTTAATCCTGGTTCGATCTGGCTCGGCCTGTGGCGTGTCGCTGCCTCTCCAGAGAAAACGGAGCGCCACCTTGTATAGTTGGCGCTTCGCGCATGGCACGGCCAGACGGCGGGGGATACATATATATATATATATAGAGAGAGAGAGAGAGAGAGAGAGAGAGAGAGAGAGAGAGAGAGAGAGAGAGAGAGAGCAACCGAGATTGCACCACATAGCTTGCGCAGCATGTATTGTATAACCCCACATAAGTTGCACCACACAGGCTGCACAGCACACCCATGTGCATGTACACATTGCAGAACACAGCTTGCACAGCATATGTTGCACAGCCACGTATATTGCACACCATGCCTGTACGACCACCCTTCGGGTGATAAGGAAGTTTGGGGGTGTGGGGGGGGAAACAACTGCTGGCAAAAGCGATGGGTGTGATGATGATGATGATGCTGGTGACGCGCCCTCGAGTTAGCGACTACGCGTCATGACGATATTGCGCTGCGATGTTACGTCACTATCGTCCCCGATTGCTATCTCACATCCAATGTCACAATCAACATCACTGCCCATATCACTATCCCGCCCACCGCCGACGGAAAACTGACGGGACGCCAACGGGGGGACACCACAGGACACCACGGCGGGACACCCCGGGCCACCGCGCGCCCTAACGACGGCGGGGTCATTCCTCTCGCGCGTCCACGCAGCTTTGCCTCGCCTGCACGCGCGCAATGAACACGAAACCGAAACCAATTCCCTGGTGGGGGGCTCTCCATTCCACTGCGATCTCACTGCCCAAGTTCCGATATCGCACAACATAGATTGCACCACATCGATTGCACCGCATACCTTGCATCTCATATATTTCATTGCCGCACACAGGTGGCACGATTTGGTTTTCGCGCACAACAAATATGTGTCAACATATTTTTCAAACCATAGAATGCACCACGTATGTAGCATAACATACAGTGCACGCCATAGATGACAGCATACAACTTACACAACATATACTGCACATCTTTGATAGCATCACGTGTACTGTACACCATAGATTGCACAGCGCCGACTGCGATAACCGTACTGCAGTGGGTTCACGCTGGCTAACATACATATAGAACGTGTTCGTGCATCTTGAGAGTGAGTGTGCATGCATATATGTAAGCATGTCTTTTGACAGGTGGACCAAGGCAGTCTTTCTGCCAACAGCTTTCACGCTCCAGCCGACGGTATGGAGCTTGCTGGTGCTCCAGTGCAGCAGAGATTGTCAGAAATCCTCCCTCCTCCTTCGTCCGCCTTCTCCGCCTCCTCCCTCTTCCCTCTTTCGCCCCCTCCCTCCCTCCGCATCCTTCCTTCCTCTCCCCTCCCTCCGTCTCTCCTCTCTGCTCTCCTCTCTCCTCTCTCCTCTCCTCTCGACCTTACAACTGCCCAACATGAGTACTGGTCTCCTCTCACCCCCTGATGCTGCCCTCATATTCTACTACATATCCCTCATGTGACTTGTGCACAGGATTGCCCAGAGCCAGCTGTCTATATGGTTCCTTGCGAGTAAGACCATCCTCGGTTCTTCAGACACGGTGCCCCTCTCCTCCGTCCTCCCCCCTCCCTCCTCCCGCTGCTGCCCTGCCTCTCCGTTCTCCTCCGCCTCCTCCCCCTTCTCTCTCGCAGAGGAGGAGGGGGAGGCGGAGGAGGAGTAGGAGGAGGAGGAGGAGGAGGAGGAGGAGGAGGAGGAGGAGGAGGAGGAGGAGGAGACGCCTGGCCCGCCACGCCCGTCCGCCCGCGCCTCCAGCGCTCAGCCCGACGCACATGCCAAGGCTGGTGCGTGCTGTTTTGCTCACCGCCGCCACATCCGCGCCCTCGACTGCAACGTAGCTGATCTTGATGCGGCCGTTGTGCAAGGCAGCGCGTGCCGTGTTCAAAACGTCTGTGTTCGTACGCTGCGTGTCGGCTCGGCACGTGCTGGCCCACGTTTTGGCGAACACATCGCGCCAGACCCACGTTTTCAGTCTACGCGTTGATTGGCATGTCAACGCGCCACGGGTTGCACGCGTTGCGTATCGGGGCGGCTGAGACCCTCGTCCTTGGTGGCAACTCCTGGGAGGTTCAGTTCAGCATGAGGAGCGCCGGTATGTCCGTTGTCGACAGCCAGCCCATTCTGGCAGAGGCCCACCCGATTCTCGTCAGGCCCGCTCCATCCGGCTCGATCCCGTGCCCAGTCTGGTCCAGTCTGGCCCAGGGGCCCCCCGATCGGGCTCGGCAGCCCGTCGCCGCTCTCACGAAGACCTCGCGGGAGGTGCCTCTAGGGGGTCTCATGCGAACCCTACCCCTACCCCCCACTATTTCTGAGGTGGAGGGTGGGGTTCACTTCGTTCGGGACCTCCCGAGCGAACTGAACCCCACCCTCCCCCTCAGAAATCGTGGGGGGTAGGGGTAGGGTTCGCATGTGGCCCCCTAGCCTCCCAGCTCGTCGCCGGCCTCTGCCCGGCTCCCGGCGCGCTCTTCGCTGCGCTCGGCCCTGGGCGCCCGCGCCCCGGCCGCGCCCCGTGTGCCGGGCCTCGGCGGGCGCGGCGCTCGGCCTCCGCCACCCTCCACGGGCCTCCGGCAGCCTCCGGCAGCCTCCTCCTCCTCCTCCTCCTCCTCCTCCACAATTATTCAATATGGATATACTCTCCCTCTTCCCCTGATGGCGTCCGGGTGATGGCCGCGCACCCTCCGCGTACTGTTTTTTTACACAGGATGCCCGGGAAATCCCGGGAAACGACTCTCGCTGAGGCGCCGGCGTCATTTTTTTCCCAAAATGCTGCTCTCGTTGAGGCGCCGGCCTCATTTCTGCTCCCGAATGGTTCCGAATCGTGCTCCCGCTGCAGCGTGGGCCTCATTTTCGGATCGGGGTTTGGCCTCCGTCGTTCAGGATGGCGTTCTCGCCCCAGCGCGGGCCTTTTTCTCGCGCGCCCATCCGTCCGCCACCACCGCGCCGCACCGCCACCACCACCACCACCACCACCACCACCACCACCACCACCACCACCACCACCACCACCACCACAACCACCACAACCACCACCACACCACCACACCACCCCACCTCCACCACCACCACCACCAACCACGCACCACCACCAGCACCACCACCACCACCACCAACCACCACCACCACCACCACCACCACCACCACCACCACCACCACCACCACCACCACCACCACCACAACCACGCACACACGCACGCACGCACGCGCACCACCACCCACTACGCACGCGCGCGCGGAGCCACAGGTCCGCTACGACACGCGTCCGCGGATAGAGAAAATCAGCGCCATGGTAAGGGATGGGAGGGAGGGGTAGGACGTCAGATATGACGCGAGCGCACCTAGCTTGTCCTCCCCCCCTCCTCCTCCTCTTCCTCCTTTTCTCCTCCTCCTCCTCCTCCTCCTCCTCCTCCTCCTCCTCCTCCTCTTCCCCCCTCCTTTACCTGCTGCCGCAGGTACGCGGCGAAGGTCATCCACCTGGCCTCGCTCGCGCGGGCGGGCAGGAGCCCCCCGGGCGCGGGGCCGGCTCTCGTTGCGCTGCCGCGCTGCTTCGGGGCAGCCGCTCTCGCCTGCCTCCTCCTCTGGCGAGGCACGGGAGGGGCCTGAGGCCACTGATGGGGGGGGAGGGAGGGGACGGGGGGGGGGACGGGGGGGGAGAAGGAGGAGGAGGAGGAGGAGGAGGAGGAGGAGGAGGAGGAGGAGGAGGAGGATGAGGAGGAGGAGGAGGAGGAGGAGGAGGAGGGAAGGAGGAGGCCTTCTCAGAACGCGGCGGGACTTCTCAGATGTCCTGGCGCCTCCTGAGAGGTGCTCTGCGTCTTCGGGGAAGGCCTCGGGCACTCCTCCAGCCGGGGGACTTCCAGGCCCTCTGAGAAGGCCTGCCCCTTCTCACTTCCCCCCCGGGCTCGCAAGTGCGGGAACGTGCCTGTGAGGCTTCAGACCCTAGGGGACTCCTTACCTGAGGAGGGCGTCGGTGATTTCCATGGCCAGGGCTCAAGTGGTCTTTGACCGGCTTTCTCAGATCCTCCTCCTCCTCCTCCTCCCTCCTCCCTCCTCCTCCTCCTCCCCCTCCTCCTCCTCCTCCTCCCCCTCCTCCTCCTCCTCCTCCTCCTCCTCCTCCTCCTCCTCCTCCTGGATTCCTTCTCCAAGGGTCCTTCACCCCGTGCCCTCGCCAGAGGTCGACCCGCCTTGCCTCTGTGGCCTTTGCTCGCCCACGGTGCGCCCCGGGGCGCCTGGAGGAAGGAGAAGCAGATGGCGCTGCTGCGGCGCGAGATCGCATCACATTCGGCCTCCTTCTCCTCCTCCTCCTCCTCCTCCTCCTCCTCCTCCTCCTCCTCCCCGGGCGCCCCGAGGAAAGAGAAGCAGATGGCGCTGCTGCGGCGCGAGATCCACATCATGCGCGAGCTGCACCACCCGAGGCTCCCGTTGTCGGGGGAGGAAAAGATACGGATACGTGTTGTCCCCCTTCGTTTTCGGCCTTTCCTGGTCCTCCTGGGGAATCCTCGTTGTCACCGCTGGATTCGCCTCGAGATTCTGGTCAGAACGCACCCCAAGAGAGGTCCGGGGACAACACGTATCCGTATCTTTCCGCCCCCCAACGTTGGGAGTTCGGTCCATCGCCGCATGATGTCCGACGAAGGCGTCTACACACCACCACCGCGCCGGGCCGGGGTCATCCTGGGCTCCAGGATGGTATATAGACCCTCCTGGCCTCGGCCAGGAGGGCGTATACACCGTGCCAGGGCCAGAGTGAGCCTGGCTTGGCACGGCGGTGGTGTATAGATGCCTCCTGTGTATGATGCTCGTGGTGTTCGCTTCCATCCTCGCTGCCGCTGGCCCTCTTGCTGCCGGCGCTCCTGCTGCTCCGGCGGCCCCCGCCGCTCGGCCGCTGGGCTCAGCTCTGCCGCGGTCGCCGATGTTACCGGGGGTCCCAAGAATATGCACCACCACCACGTCGATTCCTCCTCCCTCCTCCCTCCTCTGCCCTCCTCCTCCTCTTTCCTGGGGGAGGGAGGGGGTGAGGGAGGTGGTGGTGGTAGTGGTGGTGGTGTATGTTTTTGGGCCCCGTAGTTGCTGCCAGGGCAGGGATGTTGCCCGCGTGATCTGCAGGCGGCGGACGGAGACAGCCGTCGGCGCAGGCCGTGTCTCTCTCTGCAGCCGTGTTTTCGCCGATCGTCGCTGGTTCTTGGTGCTGTCTCTCCGCTCGTTCGCCGCCCTCTCTCTGTCTCCTGAGTTCCCTCCCTCCGCCCTCCCCCCTCATCCCTCCTCAGTGTTGCCGCTGCTGCCATTGCCGCGGTTTCTCCCGTCGGGCCTGGTATCGTTGTGCTGCCGCTATCCTTCGCAGCGCCCCTCATGCAGCGCTTTATGTTTGCCATCTCCCTTCGCGGTGGCATATTCTTTATCGCTCCCCCTCCTCTCTCTCCCTCTCCTTCTTCTGCTTGTCTTTATCCCGTGACTCGTAATCATGTTGTTAACGCTACGCCTTCTCCTCCACAGGAGATGTTTGGGCTCAAGGGATTCCTCCCCTTCCTCCTGCCCCCTCCTTCTCCTCCTCCTCCTCCTCCGCCTCCTCCTCCTCCTCCTCCTCCTCCTCTCCCTCTTCCTCCTCTTCCTCCTCTTCCTCCTTTCCTCGTGCGTTACAGACCACGGCCATCGGATCGCAGCGTCTCTTTATTCCTCCTCCCCTTCTTCCTCCCCCTCCTCCCCCTCACCCCCACCTCCCCATCCTGCTCCATGAGGAGGAGGAGGAGGAGGAGGAGGAGGAGGAGGAGGAGGAGGAGGAGGAGGAGGAGGAGGAGACGCAGACCCGAGGCGTGCCGGCGACGCACAGAGGGCGAGAGAAAAGGGGGGCAGGAGCCCAGGGGGGCCTCTCGGGCGGGGGGCCGCGGCCACGAGCGGTCGGCGCGAGGACGCCTCGCATACACCTTAGGCGATGCTTACGAAAACGTAAGTTTTCGGCCAGAGTCTCGATTATTTCTTAACGTTTCAATGTACATCCTAAGATTTTGATGGAAGTTCTGGGTTTTTGTTCAAGTTCTGAGACTATGGATTTCTTGACCCATGACTTCTTAAGCATTTCGCAGGGTGTAGCATTGGTGGCCGCGGCACGCCCTCCGAAGAGGCCTCGCCAGGGAGCGGCACGGTCTCCCCAAACGCACCCCATCCCTAACCTCATGTCGGGCGTGTCCCCCATACAGGGGAATTCTTTACGCTTCGCGTATCCCCACCAGCCCATCTCACAACAGCAACTCTTGCGAAGCATGCCGACAGTCGTGTTTTTCAGGCGTGTGTCCGCTCGCCCCCGCATATCTCCCCTGTTCCTCCTTCCTCCCGCCTCCTTGTACATCCTCCTTGTGGGGGGAGCGAGAGAAGGACGAGGCGAAGGAGGAGGGAGAGAAAGCTCTCGTCCTGGTGTGAGTCGTTCGGGCCCTTCTTCCTGGTGTGAGTCGTTCGGGCTCTTCGTGGTGTGAGTCGTTCGGGCTCTTCGTCCTGGTGTGAGTCGTTCGGGCTTCTCGTGGTGTGAGTTGTTCGGGCCCCTCGTCCTGGTGTGAGTCGTTCGGGCCCCTCCTCCTGGTGTGACTCGTTCGGGCTCCTCGTGGTGTGAGTCGTTCGGGGCCCGCGTCGTGGTGTGAGTCGTTCGGGCTCCTCGTGGTGTGAGTCGTTCGGGCGCCTCGTCCTGGTGTGAGTCGTTCGGGCCCCTCCTTCTGGTGTGAGTCGTTCGGGCTCTTCGTGGTGTGAGTCGTTCGGGCCCCTCGTCCTGGTGTGAGTCGTTCGGGCTCCTCGTGGCGTGAGGCGTTCGGGCACCTCGTCCCCTTTTGGGGCGTCTTGGGGGCCTCTTGGCGGCCCCAGGGGCTTCTAGGAGCGTCTTGGGTGCCTTGGGGGAGTCTCTTCGGGCCTCTTGGGAGCCTCTTGGAGGCCGTTTGGGGCGTCTTGGGGGCCTCTTGGCGGCCCCAGGGGCTTCCAGGAGCGTCTTGGGTGCCAAACGCACCCCATCCCTAACCTCATGTCGGGCGTGTCCCCCATACAGGGGAATTTTTCCACGAACAATTAAAACAAAACCCCAGAAATACAAAAAAAAAGGCAAAAAAATACTCAACAAACAGTCCCCAGACTATTTTGGGATTATTCTTTGACCATTTTTGGGGTACTCTTTATGGTTCGTCGAAAAAATCCCCCTGCAGTGGGGCGAGGCCCGACTGAACCCTAACCCGACGCTGGTGCACCAGACCTGACGCCGCCCCACGGGCGCTCGTGGAGGGGGAGGGGGAGGAGGAGGAGGAGGAGGAGGAGGAGGAGGAGGAGGAGGAGGAGGAGGAGGAGGAGGAGGAGGAGGAGGAGGGGCTGCCCGGCTCCCGCCCCCGCCGGGGAGAAGCCCGGGAGAGCGAGCGCTTGGCCGTCCCAGGGCCTGGCTCGTCCTCGCGGCCGCCCCGCACCGGGGGGGCAGCGCGCGCGGCCCCCCTCGGGCACCGGGTGCTCGGGGCGTCCTCCTCCTAATCGCCCTCCTGTGTCGGCCTCGCACTGCACAGTCGCTGGCCCCACACTCTGTTGGGCTCGCCGCCTCGCCTCGCCTGCACAAAATAACATCGTCTGGCCGCGGGGGGCTCGAGGGTAGTGCTCCTGATCCCGACGGGGAGGGCTCACCGCCCGCCGAGCCACCCCGGCCCAACCCGGAGGCCCCGATGAGCCCGGCGCTTCCAGTGGGGGGGGGGGGCAGCTCCACGCGCACGACCACGATGGATATCCACCACTGGGCACGGTCGGGATCCTCGACGTCGCGGCAAACTTCCTCCTGAGAACATTATAGATGAAGTGTGCACACTGACACGGACAAGGAAAGGCCAGAGAAAGCATCGTTCATATCGCCAGCAGCCCGCGGCCCCATGGAAACAGCACGTCCGACAGTCCAGTGAACGCCACAGACGCCCCCCCCCCCCCACATTTACCGGCGGCTACCTTCGCAGCCGTGCAGCATGACGATGGTCGTGGGTGGCCTGAGGTCATGCCCTCACAGCCTCCGCGGCGCACCACCGGGAAAATCGGCATCCAGTGCAGCATTCGCAGCGTAATTGGCTTTCCGCCAACCCGTCCCTCCCTTAGGGTAGCGGCCTGCTCCAGCGGGGGGGCACCATCATCCACAGCCAGGCCGATGAAGATGCTTGACGTGGACATGTCGCACGTGGAGCTCCGTAACGCATGCGTCACATTTGGAACTCTTTGCCTAACGCTGGGTAAGATTAAGTGGCTGATGCATCCTCGACAAGTGACCGCGGTAGCCAGCAACTTTAGGGCAAGCTTTACCACACTCATAGCAGACATAATGTTCAACAAGCTGCCCAATATCCTCTTGGCCGCATGTAGAGAGGGACGGGCAATTCCCATGCATCATCCTTTCACTCCAGGACAGTGCCAGTTTTTACTTATCTGCCTATCAAACCACACCGATCTGGACCAAACAGAATCAGTGTAAATATGGAGCTCTTCGGACACCGCTCTGCAAAACTTGCCCATTGCTTGAACCCATCAAGAGTGAGCGGGTCAAAATCAGACGCGCGAGAGTCACACTACATAAGCCACACGATCACGGCGTATCAACTCAGCCCTCGACTCTTGGATGCCAATGGTGAGGTCGAGCTTGGCCTTGAGGTTAGGCGGCCCGTGCACCATCAGCCAGCATACGTACCGCAACCTCGGAAACTTCAGCACGTCGGCAAAGGCAGAACGCTTTATTTTCCACAGTATCTTATCATCCGTCTTCCGCTGGACCACCAAGGCTGAGTGCAGGGACTTGGGGGCATCCCGATACCCAGACACAAAGCATGGTGCAATTTAGTGTAGGATGTCTTGGAGATGCGATCCCAGCATTCAGCTCGAACAAAACAAATGGGTGTTCGCCAACGCATCGATGTACCTGACCTTCTGACCTGTGGGGAGGTGGTGCCGAAGACCTGCTCCACGGAGAGGCCGCGCCGCTGCAGCGTGCTTGTACTTCCTGCGAGCCTCCTCGGGACCCTCAACACCAGAGCAGGGCAAGATAACGCCCACGCGCCTGTATTTTCTTACCCACGAGATCTTGTCCTCGCTCATTGCGTCAGCACGAATCGCACCAAACCCAAACGCCGCCTCCTCGCCTCCTGAGCTTCAGCACCTGACGACAAAATAAGGCAGTAGGCTTCCCTTTACCACAGTACAGCTTGAATCCCGATCCAAACATGTGTTCGCGGATGCACCTAGTCACCTCGGCCGCATGGGTGTTGACGTCGGTGCAGAAACATGGCGTGCAGACGCCCAAGTCGGCATCGAAGGTAGTATCAGTGAAGGACGCAGGCACACGAGTGACGCCCTGCGTGAACACCTCAGCGTCTCTTTGAGCCTCCAGGTCGAAAGGTAAACCCGTCTCATCGAGCTCCTCACGAATACC